GAGGAGTTTTGTACCCAGCAATTCCAGCTGCATGGAGACCTGGGCACCATAAACCTGCCTGCACGTTCATGCCCACAGGCTAGTCCAGGGCCCACTGCCAGTGGCTCTTTTCTTGGGATCAGTATCTGGTAGGAACGCACAGCATTCAGACCCTTTGTGACAGGGGGACTTTTACCCTTTTCCTTTAGAAATTGGTGGAACCATGTGCCCACAGGTACCCACTGACCTTAGCTGTAGGTTCCGAAGAACCTTGGACCCATGTGTGACCTCAGCAGTGACCACCGTGTTTCCTACTTTATGTGGCCCTAGACCTTGTCTTCCTAGGGACTGTGAAGAGCTCTGACTGCATCTGTCTCACTGGTGTCTTGTGCAGTCAGGAGACTTAGATTCTGTTTCTAGTTCTGCCCTTGGCTGGTTGTTCCAGTGAGTCCTTTTTCTTCTCTGAGCCTCAGTGTCCTCTTCTACATAGGGGATAATGACTACTCAAACCCACCTTCTTCACAGGCTACTCTCCAGGTGCTCTCTAAACTGGGGTAGGTTCTGTCATAGAAATGTGTAGCTGTCTTCCTATGAGCAACCTGAAAGTTCAGGTTGGGGCATTTGGCTTTGTAACTTATGTGAAAATGGGCCTGGGCCCTGCTGCATCTGTAGTGAGTGCGTCTTGAAGTCGTAGGGCTAGGACCAACCACAGGCTAGAGGACTCAACCACCCGATGCTTGTGTGCAGCCTGCATGTGCACCTGCAGGAGACTGGAGTCCGGAGTGAATGAGAATGAATGTCCCGTTCTCTTCTGCTTTAGTCAACTGCAGGGTACAGACAGCCCTCAGGATTGCTGCCGAGCCATACCTGAGGCTAAGCATCCAACCTGAAAATCTGTCTGCCAGGGTGTCCAACCTGTGGGCTGCTAGTGGCCCAGGATGGCTATGAATGCAGCCCAACACAAAATTGTAAATTTACTTAAAACCTTTTTTTTTTTTGCTCATCAGTTTTCATTAGTGTTTGTGTATTTAATGTGTGGTCCAAGACAACTCTTCTTCTTCTACTGTGGCCCAGAGACACCAAAAGCTTGGACACCCCTGGGTCTGTCCTCAGTGTGGCCCCTCTGGTATAGTTCAACCTCCAACAGAAGCAGGCAGGATTCTGCTGAGCTAGACCCTTACTCACATTTGAAATCTCACTAAAGAGGGAGCTTCCTCCTCCCCCGGGGCAGGCCACAGCCAGTGAGATTCTTGGCCTATGTCAGCTGAAGAGTCGGGATGCCGGGACTGGCTAAAGGAGAATATGATAGGTGCCCCCAGGACCTCTGCCTTTTGCTGGCCAGTCCCCCTGACTGTTCCTTTGTACTGGGTTGGTCAAAAAGTTCCTTTGTTTTTTCCTATAAAATAAAAGACACATTTTTCATTTTCATCAATAACTTTTATTGATTTGAATATTTTGAGTATGTCAGCTCTCTCCCATGTGGTATAATGTTTATTGTTCTCAATGAATGTCTCGATTTGATCACCATCAACTTCAACTGATTTACCTGACTGGAGCATCGTCCAGTGAGAAATCTCTAGCATGAAACTTCACAAACCACTTTTGACATATTTGATCAGTCACAGCACCTTCTCAATATACTGCAACAAATCTTTTGCTGCGTTTCATTTGTGTTTTTACTGTTCTTGAAATAATAAAGCATATAATATGCCACAAATGTTGCTTATTTTCTTCCATCTGCTATATTAAAATGGCTACACAAAAATTCACCGATTTTGATAAGTTTTTTTAAATGCACGCTGATGTGACAGCTGTCAGCAGACAATCTAACAAAATTGTTTCGAATGAAGTTAAAGATAAATAAGCGCTATTAGAGACACCTTATGGAAAAAAAACGAACAAACTTTTTGGCTGACCCAGTACATTCTGCTACTTCTAGTGGCCCCCTTCACTCACAGTCCTTAATGTGATTTTCCCAAAATAGCTGAGCTCAGCAAGCATTTTAGCAAATAGTAAGGATAGGGAACATGAAAGAAAAATTGAAGGAAATAAGAAAATTACCCAAACATTACAGTTATGCTCCTTAAGCAACCACATTCTATTTCCTAAGGCTACCTCTCCTTCCAAACCTTGCCTGGTTTTCTTGTCTTCTTTGCCCTTGGTTCCCACATGGACGCACCCTGCCTAGATATCACTTCATCATCTTGGCCGCAGCCAGAATTTCCCTTCCAGAAAAGTGACTGGTTTTGGTTAATGTCACTGTGCCACCTGGGCGTTTGAGAAGAACTTCCCTTCGGGTAAGATATCACAGGTCTTACAAAAGTAGATCCATGCTCTCCTGCTTGACACTTGGGAATCAACTTCTTATCAGTGTCTGTCAAATAACTGAGGGAAAGACTGAAACTTTCTGGGGTGGAGTCAGTCATCCCAACTGGATTCCCATTGCCAAGCTCCCTAAACAAGGAGTGCACCTGTGCAGGCTCCACTTTCTCACCTCTTATTCTTGAACACTTGCAGGCTCCCTTCTGCTCTCACCAGCCCCCTGACTCCAAATCCATTGAGTTTTTCTCAGGTTCTCATCGTCCTTGACTGCTCGATGGCATTTGACCCTAATGACCTGCATTTTCAGCTGAAAAATCAGTTACTTACAGGGTGGGGAAAAAGTAGGTTTATAGCTGTGAGCACGTGAAATAGTTGATTCTTGTTTGATTATTTATTAATTATTGTATTCTTTTCCATACAAACAACTATAAACTACTTTTTCCCCGCCCTGCATATGAGCCCAGAGAGGGGAAGCTTGCTTTCCTGTAGTTGAGGTTGCCCGCAGGTGGTGTGAAGTGGGGTCAAAAGAGCATGTGCGACTTTGGGTGACCAACGCCCTGAAAAAGATCCAGGAGTCCTGCCCTGTAGGAATGGGGTGGGATGGGTGAGTCCTGACTCATGGTACATTATCTCCCGTGGAGTTTTTCTTTTTTTAGTTTAAAGTGAAAGTGAGTTTGTAAGTGAAGCAGTGAGACAGAGAATGGGCTCCTCCACAGACAGAGCAGTCTCCTATGGAATTAATTCTTGAAGGGGCTGAGGCTGCGTGACCTGGAGAACAGTACTCTGGGGGAAGCTTCCTGGGCTCTCAGATCTTGGGGACCGTTCTGCAAGGAAGAGATAGAAGTCTCATTCTCTATAGTTTCTGAAGACAGACCTCAGGGTGGAAGTTACAAGGTGACAGTAATACTCATAGTTTAGTATTAAGGAAGGACGGACGGTCCAAGTATTGAAGGGTCGACGGAGTCCAACATTAGAGCTGCCTGCTCCGTGAAGCAGTGAGCTCCTTGTGTGCGGTACTGGTCTGGTAGGGTGGCCTGGTTGTTTTAGCTCGTAAAACACACGAGACACGGGCCCTCTGCTCCTCATTTCATACTCTTCCCAGCTGATCTTAATCTAGTCTCATGACTCTAATTTTACATATATTACATTAATGATTCAGCACTTTGTATCTTCAGACCTTTCTTTAAAACTAGATATCCAGCTGCCTCTTAGATGTCATCCCACTGCTGGATGGCTCCTAGGTGCCTCACGCTCAATGGATAGTGAGTGTTCACCATGTGTCAGGCGTCTACTTACAACTGCATTCCCAAACTCTTGCCTCCTTCCAGAGGTGTGCTGTGGGGAGGCAGTGGGAGCAGTCCACCCTGGTTTGGGCAGAAAGAGGATACATTGTATGTAGAAAACTTAAAAATAATTATACAATTGACTAAATGTTGGTCCACTCTGGGTGTCAGATACGCTCTCTCTGCCCTTTCTCCTCCTTTAGTCTTAGTGAGAAACATGGAGCTAGCCAAGGCATGAATCTTTGAACTGGGTTCTACTGCTTTCTCTCACTGGGCCCCAAATCCCCTTTGGTCCTCCTTCACATCTCCACTATCTCTTGCTTGCTCACCATCTCTGTGACTATTGTGTAGTCTCCTGGCTACTATCCAGCTTTTCTTAGTGTAATGGTTTTTTTTGTTGTTGTTTTTTTGCCTTGGCACAATCATTGTAAACCACAACTCTCCGAAGGCTCTCTATTGCCTGTGGCTAAGCTCTTCTCTCAGCAAGAAAACTCTATGATCTTCTTTAGCTGATATTTTTCAGTTCTTCCTCCATCCTTCCATGTTCCCCGTGCTCCAACTTAAGGCTCTTTTGTCTCCTTTTATTGTCCATTCCGCTGAACAAACTGTGAGCCCCTTATGGGCAGGAGTTGTCTTCCTTTCTGAGTCCTAAGTGCCTGACTCTTAATTTTTAAACATCAGTAAATGTTTGGGTGAATGGATTTGTGTGGGTAAAATGGCATCATCAGCTAGAAGGGAGATAGTTTATACATTTTAATTTAAAGAAAAAATAAGAACAGGTTCTTGGCTTAAACTCTGACCTCTTCTCATCCTTCTGCATGGTCTCCTCTCTGTCTGCAGAAAGCCTGTTGCTAGAGACTGAAATGTGAATGGAAGTCCCTGCCCAGCTATCTCTCAATCACGTGCTCTTTCTCTCTCTCCTCTTGTCTCATATTTCTGCCTCTCTGCTCTAACAAAATAACAAGCTAGTGCCCTGGAGAGAACCTAGGATGTAGAGGGAGACAGACCTGGGTTCAGTCCATTTTTTTTAGCTGTGGGATCTTAGTTACCCCCCTGAACCTCATTTTTTCATCTGTAAAACGTAGGCCATGGTACCTACCTCACAGTACCATTCTGAAGAATGATGTGAAAGTATAAGTAAGATACTTAGCATATTGTAGACCATCAGAAAGTAGTAGCTGCTGATTTTGAATAGTCTTCAGGTTTTCACATTTGGGTCTGAGGGCTGGGCCTGGAGCACAGTGTCCAGGGTGCTGGAGGTGGGGGTGCGTTTCTCCGGTGGGGTGGGGCCCGTGGCTAATGGGTTGGCCTTTTGAGGTCTGTTAGTCTATAGACTCTATGTTGGACCCTGTAGCTTAACACTCCTCACCTGGGACATGGGTGTGCCCAACTTGTTCTCTCTTCCCTTTCCTGTAGGCTCCCAGGCCAGTGCCAGTACCTGGGCTTGCCAGTGGCAGATTACTTCAAGCAGTGGATCAATCTGAAAAAGGTACTGTGTCTGAGCCCCACTTGGGTGCTTCGCCTGGGTCTCCTGGGTCTCAAATCTCCCCCCAGCCCTTGCTGCTTTTCTCATTTCTGTTGTTTTCTTTTTGTTGTTCTCATCCCTCCCTTTCTCTTTGTTCTTCTCTTTTCTCAACATCCCTCTCTCCTCTTCCCTAGCTAATGTGCACTGGCAGACTGTGGCCATATCTGGGACTGGGGAACTGGTTGGGGACCAGGCTGTTGAGTAGAGTATGATACGTCGCTACTTGGTGTCACTCAGATGTGCAGAGAAGTTCCAGTTAAGGGGATTTTCCAGGTTCTTGCCCAGAGCTGAAACTGAGCTGAGCTACATTGCCTCTAGGAGAGATGTGGTGCTAGCCGAGCCTCTGGAGAAGTGTCCTCCTTTGATATGTTCAGGAGTGTGGCCCTGACCCTCCTGACTGGTCCTGGTGTCTTCCTCTGGTGGGGAGGTAGAGGTGGTTCAGGCTGGCTTCAATGCTGCCTAGCCACAGCAGAACCTTGCTCATATGAAGGGCCATGGAAACTACAGCCCAGTTTTCTTTGAGCGTGAGGGAGGAGACGAGCACTAATGTAGCACCAAGCACCTGGGGAATGGGCTGAGGCTGTGGGCTGGGAGGGATGCCCCGTACCTAGGAAAGTGGGGCCTGGCAGAGAGTGAATCACTCAGAAAACTGACCTCTCCTAGTATGTGCTTGCTGGATAAGCAGAAGAAAGGAGTAGGAGTAGACTCTCCAGTCCCTGCTCTAGTGGGATCCTTGCTCCAGGAGGCCCAGTCCCCCAGGGAGGCTTATCACCATAAATCCTTCTGATGCAAGAGCAAAAAGCCCCAGGGCAGCCTCAGGAACCCCAGCCACTTGTCAGCAGTGACTCCCAAGAAGCTCAGGGATGGGAGAACACATGAGGGTAAGAGTAGTGGCTCCTGGGGCGTGCAGGGAGAGCTCATTGGAGGGTTAGTCTAGGACCATATGGGTTTGGGTCTTGAACTGAGCATAATCAAGGGAGGTGAGGCACAGATCTGAGGAGGAGAGGCTTTCTAGGCAGGGGGAGCAGTGTGCTGTTGGTGTGTGTGTGGGGGAGGGGTGGCTGGAGCTAAGTGAGCTTTTGAAGGAACATGGGAGAGAATGACCTTGGACTTTGTCCCATAGGTCTCAGGGCAACCCTTATTTGAGGCAACATTTATGAACCCCTTTACTTTCGTATGGTATGCAGGTCCTCTGCACTCTGATTTGTTTGTACTTGGACCCCTACCCACCTCTCCTATCTTCCGTGCGCCCGAACGACAGCTACTTAGTACTTGCCACCTTCGGCTGAGAAGGCCAGCCAGGCTCTGTGCTACCTTCAGCCCTTGGCCTGTGACCTTACCTCTCTCAGAAGTGCCCCCCAGTCATCTTCACTGGGCATATTCCTCTCCTTGAAGATTCAGTGCAGTTATCACCTCTGCTGAGAAGCTTAGCCAGCTAGTCTCTTGCCTTGAGGCTCCTTGACACTTTGGATCTTAGAGTGTTGAAACTGAGTCCATGTGTGTGTGCTTCCTTGCAGACATGTCTGCCTGGATAACAGAGACTGAGTCTGGTTCCTTTCTGTGTGCCCAGTGGCCAGATCAGGGCAGGGTACAGAGCATGTGCTCTGTGAGTGATTGCTGGCTGACTGACTAGTCTTTGAGAGCTGGTTCCGTGGAGGCCCTCTCATTTGGGACTTGACAGGGTTGCATGTGCTGGTATGGCTAGGCCTGTGGTCCTGAAAGATGGCTTTGCCAGCTGTCAGAACGCATCTGAGGCTGTTTGCTGGCCTTGGCAAATGCAATGTGAAGGCCCAGCCAGGCGAGGCAGGCACTGACCATGAACAATTGCTCTGTGAAGTTCACTAGACTTTTTGGTATATGGTTAGCTCTCTGCCTCTAGGTTCCTTGGCAGAAAGGCAGAAAAGCAGCCAACCCATGTGGTAGCATTGCCAATGAGGGCTACCTTGGAGCTGCTGGTGGGTGGAGGTGGTGCTCTCCTGAACCTGTTCAGCTAGGTTCTCTGCCAGACTCTGCTGAGCTGTAGAAGGGGAATGGGCACGGGGCGGGGCGAGAAACTCAGTACTCTATTCCCAGTTGGCCTTGTGATTGCCTCTTGGGAGGTAAACTTAGCAGGTCTAGGAAAAACAAAAGGTCTAACCCTTCCATTCTGTCCTCTGGCCACATCATGTTTCAGCTCTGCTTCAGTCCTTGCCAGCAGCCATTTAAATTAGGGAAGCTGCAGGGCCTGGAGGTCCAGGGGCACAGTGATCTTTCTGACCATTATACTGCCTGACTTAGTGCAGGCTGCACAAAGATTCCTGCTCCCTTAAAAAGAGTAACAGTAAAAGCAAAGCCAGTGAGATCATTGCCAAAGTTTTGGGAATACTGTGTGAAAGCCTTATCTTTGCCTTTTTCCCACATATGTGACCTACACTCTGGCTATCTACATGGTCCTCTCTAGTCCTTGATCTTACTTCGTTCCTCCTTCCTTTCCTACTCCTCTCCTTCTTGACTCCCCTAGAGAGTTTTGCCCTACGAAAAAAATGGAGAGGGTTCTGGTCTGTTTGGTCACCTAGATCTGTCTAGTAAGTGAACAACTTGGACTGAATTCACCTTCCCCATTTCCTAAGACCTCTGATCTGAGAAGGGGCAGAATGTTGTCTTCCAGCTGCCCTCTCTTGTCCAGAAACGGTGTGGGTTGCATCAGGGAAGAGCAGCTTTTCAATGACCAGGTTTCCACCTCTCCCGCCTCCACCTCCTTCCCCTATAGCAGAGTAGAGCAAGCCAATGTTTGCTGACATTTGGAGTGTCATTGAATGATCTTATATTTTTATTGAACTGTCAGCTTAGAGAGGACTTGGGGCCCTGCCCCCAGCTCCCTCCAGGAGGTCAGAGCTGTCACTGAGGGACCAGAAAATACACACACGTGCACACATATACACATACATGAGCATGCACGTGTGTAGTCTTGTGAATGCATGCACCCAAGTAGCCATACCAAAAATTGTTTATAGTATCCATGCATGCACACATGTATATACACATATTCACGTGGTCACCTGCAGAAATATATGGAAATAATACAGACAAATGTGTTTATACAAACATATTCATAAAATGTAAAGACATGTAAATAAACATGCACATCTTCACTGATAAACATACTCTTGAGTGCCTTCTGTGTTTCAAGTTCTGTGCTTATGCCCTGGAGATATAACAGAAAAAATGGACATTAAATAATTTTAATTACATTGTAACACCAAAAAGTTTAGAGCCTTGGGATGGTTTCATAAGGGGACCAGACCTAGTTGGCAGGGCCAGGGACTGGTTCCCTGAGGAAGGGTACTGAGCTGAGACCTAAAGGATGAGCAGGGATTGGTTACGCACGTGGCAAGGCCCTGAGGTGAGGAGAGGCCTGGCATCTTCATGGAACTAGAACGTAAGTTCCCTGAGAGCAAAGAAGTTTTGTCTCTTTTGTTTACCGTTCTATCCCCATCACTAATTATTATTTGTTGAATGAATGACTGCCTGAAGCATAGTGGTTGTGGGGAAGAGAGGAGTGTGGCATGAAATGAAAACGGAAGGACAGGTAGGAGCTTATCGCACTTTAGATTTTGGTCTGTATCCTTAGGGTAGGGAAAGCTGTTGAAGGGTACTGCATGTAGGAGGTGAAAGGAGATGGGAGGAAAGCGTAAGTTCTTGAAGCTGGCTCTCTACAGGAGGAAGGTCCGCTCTTCTATTACAGAGGAAAGGGAAGAAGGTGTGTGTGCATAGATGCAGGTAGGCCTGTGGATTTGATGATGGCAAGTTGAAGTTGTTTCCTTCTGATGGCTTTTCTTTTTCTCTATGAAGCAGGAGATGAGTCATTTGCTGATAACTAATAGGGGAGGGATGGGAAGGTTTGCAGAGAGTGGAAAAGGATTGCTGTAGTTGTAGCAAGTGGAAGTGTGAGCTGACTTGAGAAATATAGTAAGGTTTTAGGCGGTGCTGAGGGTGCAGCTGATGACACTGATTCATAGTGGAACTGCTCTGTTCAGTTGCATGACTTTTATTTAGCAGAACTCAGCTGCCTGGCTGCGGGCATGTAGGAGGCAGACATTTAGAGTCATCCAACATGGAGATTTTCTCATGAAGTGTGATGAAAGGAACAAAGGAGTTGAAGATGTTGTTGAGACAGTGGTTGCCAAGATGGACCATGGGATGTAAGCTGGATATCGAGGGAACAGAAGACAGCAAGAGGCCCATTGGAAAAAGTAGCTGGGTCCTAGTAAGATGAGGAGCAGTTATATCGGGTGTGGTTGAGCATGCCAGATGGAAGGATGAGAGATTATGGTTAGACAGTGGGATATCTGAGTAAGTGATTTCAGAGATAGAGCAGTCATAGGTGTTGGCAGCTTCTAAAGTGTGCCCATGGGAGTGGGTAGTTAAGTTTGGGTGGAGAAGAATATTATTGTAAATAAGAGGTTAAGAAATTGATAGGTCAGATGAGACCTCTATAAGGTGAAAGAAGATGGATATATGAGGGGGGACCCAAAAAACCTGGAATTATCTTCTGGAGGGCAAGCCTCTTACAGTACAGGCTTCCCCACTGGGTACGTGTTCTTGGAATCCATCTGTATCAGTGTACCAGCTGGTGTTGTTGTGAGAAGCTGTGTTCAGCTTTAGGGAATTTTTTTTTGAAGACTCTTTCAACGCATTTGCCGATTTCACGATGGGTGACTTATAAGTGCACCTGCCCACACTGCACTGAGTGTTCAGCAGTTTTTGACCAAAAACGGCATGACCTCCATGGCCCACCCTCCCTATTCACCCGATCTTATCCCAAGCGACTTCTTTTTTTGTTTCCCCAGAAGAAAAAAGTCCTCAAAGGGCAACATTTTGCCAATGTGGAAGAGGTGTAACAAAAAATGGCAGAAGCACTAAAACACATTAAAATCCATGAGTTCAAAAACTATTTTGAACAATGGAAAAATGTCCCGATAGGT